ATATGTCAGTTAGCGTCCCTAACCATCAAGGGCCTACCTCCAGCTCCCGAACGCATGTCATTGCTCTCTTTGATGAATAGGCACGGCTCATAAGCGAAATATGTTTCCCTGGCAATTAGCCATACTTTGTACTCGTGAGTGAACACATGTAAATCACATGTCCTCGCACATACATAAAGCAAACACTGATGCATTGGTTTATAGCATAAATTCATGCTCAGAATTACACGCGACGGATTTAAACCCGAAAAGTACACACGTACGTATGTATCCACTATCGTTTACACCAATATCGCATATTACACGCGTTAACCTTACACCCTGGCAGAGTGTAAAACATGCACAGACGTATATAAACAACGCGGCTTTTGATCAACATGTTTTACAAAAGACTTTACAAAATAAACTAAGGGTAAATAAGCAGATAAACAATACAAAGTCGTGCTGATATCAAATTGATCAAGGCACACGCCATTACCAGTTGATGACAATTAAACACAGTAATGACGTCAAGAGTATATACAATATGTTGCTCGGTAATTATTATTTAAATCATTTTCTCAGGTAATGAATAATGAAGTCATATTTATTCACTACTGTTATTTAAAGCCATGTTAACCGAGAGTTGTACAAAACTACACACGTATTAAAAGCAGTCGTTGGTTGATTCAGTGTGAAATGACCTCCCATGTTATTGACGGAAATAATGTCTACAACTCAGTCTAATCGCCATTGCCAAATCACGATAAAATCATACATCGTAGTTATTCTGTACATATTGTATATCAAAGCCAAGATAAGAAAAAAAACTTTTACAGAAACTTATTTTTCCAAATTAGCGAAGTGATCCTTTGTTGCAATCAGTCATGTTTAAGATAGCATTTAGTGTTAGCTATTGTGACAGACATGTTTTTATTTCTATTGATGACGTCAACACACAAAGAAACATAAAATTGGAGATTCTGTGACCGCATGTTACAACAATAGAACTCCATGAAACGAACCATCTTGTATTTTCATTTTTTGTGATAGTTTTTTTTTTTATTTTAAATTGATATTTAAAGCTTGATAATTTAATATTACAAATTGTGAATTTTCTATTTCTGGATAGCAATATTCCTTTATTATATAACCCTGTTGTGTTTCCAAGCTGCAGTTGATTCGGCATTCTAGGGCTTGATCTCTTTGTCAAGATTTTCGTTCTAGATGTTGGCAAGTGTAAAAAAAACTCACAACGCAGTGTTTCAACAGATACAGATCTATTTCTTTTTGCTATATGAATCTGGATGTGTTTGATGCACGTTAGAATGCATGGAGGGTCCGTTCTAAATTGGGAACTTGACATTATCTACTTGAATTGACAAATATTTACAATGTGGTTGTCGTCGATGAAGAAGAAGCCGCTTACCCTTTCAGAACACCTGGTCTTATTCTTGTACTTTTCTAGAAATCAGTTTGTTGGTTCTTATATTGCTACAGCTTCATTGAAATTTATGTTTAAATTCAGATTATGTTAACATGTCAATATATTCTTTACGTCGTCGCCGGGTTCTATCGTAGAACATTAGCAAAACGTTTATGTTGCCATGTAAATCTTTCCTACAGAATTGGGGTACATATTTTATATTGTGAAGTGATCAGTGGACATAAAAAAAATGTATTTGCACTTTGACAGTGGAATATATTACAGGATTATGGACAATGGCCTAATAATATAGAGCCGAACGACATCAAATTGACAGTACGATCATTACTTGTAGGATATTTACGTGGTCGTTTTATGGGGTATCGATATCAACTCCTGGAGAATACGTTGTTGGTCTTGGTAGATTATAATTTTCATAGAGACAATGTTCCGAATACTATGATGCCAAGGAGAAAACGTATGATAGACTACAGTTGTATAATATACCGAAAAGACTTGGACATCTATTGCGATATACATATCATGTTAGCTGATAAGCTAACCAGATATTTCTTCTTCTCTATGGTAGTTTCGTCGTGTTAATTTGTCTTGGACAGTCACATTCAAATTCTGGACATATTGTTGCGCATATTAGTCGAGCATCATACCAAACACGCAAGAAGCCTATCCGTATTACATTATTCTGCACAAGCGTATCCCTCAACAATATTCACGTGTGCAACACGCGCGTGTCCTTCCTCAATCAATGATGTTTGCATATGTATTTACTTCACACATCTTGTCGTCAGAATTGGATGCCGTCCGAAATCTGAGAGGCAGGGAGATTAAAAGGTTTATGAATAAATAAATAGATACATGTATGCGTACATATATATATAATTTATTTCATATAATAAAGTCTACCTATGCGTGAATGTACAACAAAATTAACATCACTTAATTTAATTTATGCGCATAAAGTCGTTGTGGTAGTCACGTTCTGTTGAGCTATATCTTTTAAAACCTTGATTCTCCTTCCGAAAAGTATTCTTAATATCCGGATGAACGTCAGTTACAACAGTGATGACGGTTTTGTCAAGGTACAGGCTATCCCTTTTTACATTTCTATACATAAAGAATAGTAGGTTATGTATGGTTCGAATTACACAATCTTTACTATAGTGATATTAGTTTGTCTTTGAAGAACCAATGTTATATATTCCCTTTAAAGCCAAGTGGTCATTTTTAACAGTAAAACCACCTATAAACTTTAACTCTTCAAGTTTTCATGATTTACGCCTTAATTGGATCAAGTGTTTTTCCATGAGATAAATCACCGAGAATCTAACCGTAAAACCACCAACAAATGTTTCGCTTTAGGATTTCCTGATTCACGCCCTATTGGGATCGGGTGTTTTCCCGTGAAATTAATCACCGAGAGTCCAACTGGAACTTAAGGTATTGACTTATTTACTTTGGGACAAGTAAACTAGGCTATTTCGTTTCGGCAGAATTTGATATATAGTCTTCGTTGAAGAGAAATGTCACTGTATTCGACAGTTGTGCGACATACTTACTGTACAGCAAATGCGTCTATTTTTGTCTAAATACATCCGCATTTGACACAAGGAGATAAGGAAATTGTCAGAACCATGGATTTCAGACGGAAACTACATGTTAGTCATGGTTATGATTGGGCAATTTGGGAAGTGAAGCGTAGTGCTAAACAAACACCCCCAGGGAAACAGAAAGGTATACATCAAAGGCCTAAATGTAATCAGGTTTATGTGCTTTATATGTAGAATACACTTACCGCCTGTCAAACTGACTGGTCAGTGGGGACACGTTCTTGTTGTCAGCCCAAATACGTACATGAATGGTCAGTGTCCGTTACTAATGAAAGTCTGGACATCGACGTGACGGAAACCGTAAAACAGTAATCATGTAGTTTGTCTGACCATTGACGGACCTCTGGACATTGGTCAGTTTGTTGTTATACAGAGCAGAAACGTGTAACTTGTTTTTTTTTTATCGTATATACAAACACGTAGAATTCATTAGTATGTGTGTATACACGTGGTTTAATGTTTACTGATGTACATTAGCTATAACTCTGACTATTAAGCTATTATTCTTATCACACACAGTCGACCTACGTAAAAAGCTGGAAATGAGTGTTCCTACTACTTTATAATGGGAGTCACGTCATTACCGGAAATCGATATCAGTTATCATTGTAACTCAATCTTCTAATTATGTCAGCGGATCTTTTGAGAAAAAAAGTAGCAATAATTATGTTGAATGTGTACTAATCAATAAAAATGCTCTATGAAAACATATTGAAACAGGCATAAAAAAATAAAGATATCAACGTCTCGAAATTAAGGATTAGATAAAGCCTACTTAGTATCCATTGAGTGGCTTCAGATAGAGCAAATGGCAGAAAAGTGTCGTAACACTTAATAGCTCGTAAGATTAAAGTCTTTTAGATATTGGTTAAAAGAAAGGTGGGTGGGTGTGTAGGCGGAGTGGGCTATAAGTGAGTGTTGATTAAACGACACATGATATCTGAATTCATATTTCGCATCAACCAATCGAGAGTCCTGAAAATAAGATAATAATACAGAAATAAAAATATAAAACCAATAAATGTTGAAAGGTTTATAAACATGAAGAGTTCCTGAGGAGGTGATAGCTTAAGTTAAAGACAGCTGTGCGGTTTTTTTAAAAATTATTTCTATACATACATATATAGATATATGCATATATCAAAGTTGTTTGGTGCTATTTGTGATGTGACAATGTGAATGTTTAATTACGTTTTGGTGTTCTTGTTGAATGAGATTTTCACTCGACATGATAAGTCGTTCGACCTTGTTAGTCTGATCACGGTTACTCTTTCGTTTTATTGTATCAACTCACGTGGTTTCTCTGTTGACATTAAGCAGACAGTATTTACCGTTGATTTCAATATGTGTACATTTACCGTCACTCCTTTTAAAAGTTCAGACGTTTGTTTCTGATTTGAAATGTTTACCTCTGCTTTTTTTAAATTTATGCTGACGTTGATTTCTTTTTTTTTCTTTCTTTTTTTTTTTAAATGAAGAACCATTGATTCCAAACAGGATTTCTGGCTTTCTGTTTATATCGAGAATCTTGGGCGTTATTTTTTGTATCATATTATCTCATTTGTAAGATTTTTTTCACTTGGCATTTTGCCGACACGGTTGGTTTCATTATCAATATTTTTAATTTTTTCACACGTGTTCATGCGTTGATGAATTTACATACATTTATTAAGAAAGTTTGAAAGAGAGTTGTTTTCTCAACACTTGTTGATTTTCGCATAAGCAGTCGTGGTTTAGTCACTCTTTCGACAATATTTCAAGTACATATATTGTATGTGGGATGGAAAAAAAATGTAAGTTAACATTGTTTCTCTGATGAACTCAAGTTCTCGTTTCAGGGGTTTTATTTTAACACTTTGATGCCACTGTAAGTTTGTGTATATGGCGTCCTTGTATCGTAATGTTACGTCAGTATTTTGGTACTACTCAGTGATGACTTCTAACAACTCCTTTGTGATAAATTACAGGTCTTTAACAACGAGCTGGGAAAAGTTCCACAGGGGCATCCACCAGTATCATCTTTACAATCCTGACGACTCGACCGTGGAGGATCTTCTTAGGGACGTCGCCCAGGAACCTATCGTCGACGTCGGTATGTAAATTTACCGATATCCGAACTTTTCACACGAATTTGATTACCACTTACATTCTTTGTTGACGAAATAATTCTTATTATGATTCTTACCTTACCGTATTATATTTGTCTGTTCGTCGGCAATGGTTTTGATAGTAGTTTTTCAGCCAATAACGGTAAATTTCTTATTGTGTCCATGTTGACGTCTTAAACAACAAAATCACTGAAGTGGATGTATATATAACTTTAATCAATTATATTTCGTCGACGACAATAAAAATGTAACTCTGAACCCAGAAACCGTCATTTCGAAATACACAACAAGTTATACAGCAATAAATGACGAATACGGATGTTATCTAAAACAACACAATAAACAGACACGAAGAGAGTGCCAGTCCTTGGATATAATCAGAATTATTAAAGTTGATTGATGACAATATTTCGAATAACTTGAAATCTATTATCACGTTTTTGGTACAATATTTTCAATGCTTGAACCTTTTTACGTCATTTACACAGATTTATTTGTTTGTCTTCTAGTACTAAGTAGCTATTTACTTCGATTGTTTTGATTCTGTAACAATGGAGTAAACATTTTGAGTACTGGTGTGTATCGGATACGACTTCTGGAGATTTTTTATCTTGGAAGGAACATATAACAACACTCTTTATTTCCAAGTCGGATGTTTGGCACAGAATAAGCAATTGTCCTGACTTAAGATAGTAACCTAGGGAGAAGAAGATTACGACACATCCATAACAAAGCTTTCAGAGTCTTCGATCTTTCTATCTAAACCATATATTCATATGTGTATTCCCTTAAAAGAAGCTTAATTTTGGTGAGAATTCACGACACAATCCTCGTTCGTTCTTCGTGCCGAAACGGAAAAAATAAAAACCCTCATGCAATTTTGACATATCTGGATAAAAAAAGCAATACGACCTTAACCTTACCTGCTAATAAAGCTATTTTTTCCGACACCAGCGGTTTGACCGTGAATTGCCTTTATCATGATTTTCCTTTCCTAGACAAAACCGGCTAATAGTGTAGTTACGGTGAAATAGTCGTCCGAATGATTTTGGCTAACTGCCGGAAAATATTTCAATTGGCATTAGTGATAAACTACCAATGTAGGTAAAAAGAAAATATCATGCTATATTTTAAAAAATGATTTTATCGGATTACGGTACCATTGTAGAACGTTATACTTATGAATCCACGACTCGGGATTACATTATGAAAGTATAAACAATGATTTGAAATAAAATTTTCTTTGTAATGAAAACGAAATTTGGATAAAAGAAATATAACAAGAGGTGAATATCAACATCAGTGGAACATTTGTTATTAAGACAGAGTTGACATTCTGAAGCAGAGAGTAAAAGATAGAAAAACGGAAAAGTACATATATAAAACGTAGTAGTAAGTATAACCATACATGATCAACGTTTACAGATGTCCAGCCGATCGGATGATTGTAAAGCATTGCTTTATTTCAGGGCACGAACAAGTGTTCATGTAACCGTGTAGAAAATGAACAAATTCGGAAGAGAGAATTTTTCCACTCTCGTGCTGACTCGTTAGATCGTTGAAAAATAGTTCCAGCGTTTGTACGCCGAAAAGACGACGTAGCATTATTGGATGAGATCAGTCAAAACAGGAAAGTTGCCAGACTGCTTTTGACACCAGATATATCAACTCATTGACAAGTAGTATCGGTCTAGTCTCGTTTATCGCCTCGGCAATGTATCTTGAAGCTGAAGTCCAAAACTAGTGTCAATAAGCTGAAGACTCAGACTAAAAACTACATTTGAAGTCAGGAAGATAAATTTGAACGTCTACCTTGATTCTTGAATGATAGCATGCAACTGCGATTCATATAGACGGACCACGTAATTAATTAGCAACTCAACTATAATCAAATTGGAAATAACAATATCGAAGAAAAAAGTCGTTGTTGCGATATCAATGTAGCAGATTTTGTCAGAAACTGCTCCAACTATGTGTCTCACAAAATAAGTGTGAGACTAAGGTGTTTGTCAGTGACTATGAACATAAAACTTTTGATGAGAATCGATCAGGTAAGGCTGTAACAACCCACAAAGAGTATGAAAAATTTCATTTTAATTTTTCACTGATCTTAATAAAGAGATTAAAGGCTTTGAAATCAATTTAAGAAGATAAGTTTCAGGATTTTCTGACACCGTTGATATAAAAACAAATATGTTGACGGGAACTAGTTTTGGGAAAGGACCGTATGGAAGCGTTTGCGTAAGCCAAAAAAAAAAATCTCCAGAAATCTCACATAGTCACTTATTTTATATCAAAAGATCGCTTATTCTTGATACGGAAGCTCACAACAATGTGAAGTCTTCAATTATATTCAGTCTTGTAAACTTTTATCTTTAGTATATGTGTGTGTGTAAGAGAAGAAATTTCAACTTCAGTTGCTCGTTATCTTCCTCCTCATTTCTTCAGAAATGTGTTTAATCAGCCAACCAAACATGACACACGCCTCTCCAATTTCAAAAGTATAAGAGGTAGTATCAGTTTGTTTTCAATGCCTGTGGACACAAAACTGTGGACAGTAGAGCTTGCTTAAAAGGAAACGACGGCAAATATCAAATCTGTAATGACAACTTTTAGGGAATAAATCTTTCTTAAATTGAGATAACATATGTTACCCTCGTTTATGATGTGAAATACAGATAGATTCTACCTAAAATCATGACGAAATGTTGCAGACTTTGCTAAATAGATACTTATAATCCTTAAAATCCTTAAAATCAAGAGATATAATCTAGTACTAATGCACAATTTTTTCTTTTTCTCAAATTATTGTCGTTGACATATAAATAGCTCCAGATCTGTGATGTAGATTTCTCTGCACAATGATTAACATACGATTTCAGCATCATTAATTTGCTATTACCAACAACTTACACTATTTTGAACTCTGGTGAGTAGCATTATAGCATGCGTCTGGTTTACATTGTATTGATCAATTTAGACCTTAATGATAAATCAGACATTTAACATTTATTAATAGTGCTGAAGGTTTTGAAGACATACAAGAAGTAAATAGTTATTTCCAATCCATAATTTTTGGTTAGATATTAACTAATTCATTAAACTGCGTCATACAACTGTTCTAGGACTCGTCAAGAAAATACCAACATTGGAACATAATCATAATGCAAGTTCAAATCTAATGAAACTAGTTTAGAATTTCCCCAAAGGTTAACGAAAAGAGAAAAAGGCCATGTGTTCTGGAAGAGTAAGTATCTTCTGCTTCATCGCCGACACCAGTCATGTAAACCTTGATCAATGCTAGTAAGAAATGTCATGTTCCCAAATAAGAACAAGGTATACAACAACGGAACCAACAGACAAAATAACCAGCATCAAACACAACCAGCTTCATATCGTACAGAGATATTCCTCAGTGAGATTTCTGTAAAACCTATGAGAAAAAGGAATAAAATCATAATTGATTGAATTCATCGTCGAAACCCCGATGGGAATGGGATGTGCGCTATCCTAATAATTAGATAAAGTTCACGAATTTCAAAAGGGGAGGGGATTTGTTAGTACGTATGTATACATGTTTTCTGATCCCTGTCACCACTTGAATGCATGAAAGTTACGGAAAACTTCGGGGACGAAAATCCAATAGCAGTGCCTACAATATGCAACGACGAAGAATGTACAAAAGCATCACATTTCAATAATTTTTTTTTTCAGAATTGAAAGAAGGCGGTACACAATTGAAGCTGATTATAACATTCAGTGATGAAGGTCAGGCTTTGTTTAAACCCATGAGGTGAGCTGTTAATTAATTAGGTTTCTGATCGCCAAGAAAAATATCAAATATCAATTGCGGGCACTTCTGCGTGTTCTTGTGCGTTTTAATTATTTCACGTAACAAGGAATTAAGTGAATGTTGTAAGCTGGTCCACCGTGTGTCTGCTATGTGTATGTCATGTTGGGTATGAATACAAATATATAAATATTTAACTAACAATGGCTATGCATCGTCAAACATTTTAACATTAACGTAGTTTGAACTCATCATTTTTTTTTATTTCGTTGAAAGCACGAAACTCAATTGTAAGCATCGGGACACCGAAAACGCCCACGTGATTATGAATGTAAAAAATATATAACTAATTATTCTAGTAATAATTTTAGAAAGCATATAGATAAATTCTGCTTTGACCTACCTGAGAGCTATGTTATCTTCCTGTATGGTTTTTCTGTAACTCGAAATGATTTCTCTGTTGGCACTTTTTTCCAAACAAATGATGTAATCCTACTGGTTGGTTGAAGCGTCATACATGTAAACTTGCCTATCAAGATTGTATCGTTACTGATATTGCATCGCTAGAATAGTGGCACTTTTACTGGTACTTAAGTAAACTCTATAAACAGAAAACCTTTATAAGGTTTAAAATACGGGGCCCTGATTATACAGGTCAATTTCCACATACAGAAGAAATAATTGCTTACAATATTTAGTGCCTTAACTACCAGAAGGAAATATGACATTCAGTGTGGTTCCAATTAAAATAATTTTGATGATTTAAGATTAATTTTTAATTATCTCAGATAAGATTGATGAGTGTGAAATTTCTGTCCTTGTTCTAGTTTGACAAAAATTGTTTCATGCACGACATTTGAGGTTAGGCACATGACCTTTGTGGAAAACGTAATTTGTGCAGGTTGATATTAGTCATACACAGAAATAGCATTAAGACATTCATAATCAGAATTTTAAATTTGAACAAATTAAGTTCAGACATTGTTGAATACAAAATTAGTTTGCGGTTTGCGAGCAAGTGTGTTTTCTCTAGTTCACTAGATTTTTTTGCGTCAGTAAAACTAGGTAATGTCCGTCTGCATACCTGCCGTCAGGAGCCGAACCTCCTCCCACGGACCAATCCCCTGCCCTTACTCTGTCCTTACAAAATGCATTTAATCAGATCGCTATCGACATATCAAACTCACAATAAATCTTTGGTTTCATCTATTAGATAGCATTAAAACCCACATAATTCTATCGTAATCATGCTTGCGTTTGGTGTTTTGTCTGTGTATGGTAACATATACATTTATGTGTTACCTTTTCGTAAAACAAGTTCGAATCGTTTGGATATCTTAAACATAGGCAACACAGTGGATGTAATCTAATCTAATTCATTCACTTTTTACTTCGCATTTAAAACACCTCTGCTCATAGCCTGTCTCGTATCTTTAGTTGTCATGAATTTTTGTATACTTAAATATGGATTATGCTTTGATCTAGTGAATGAACTTAATACATCGACAGTATAGTATAAGGGGAACATTCAGGGACTTCTTTTGAACATGTAAACTTGACAAATACACTTCATTTTAACATGTAAACTTGACAAATATACTTCCTTTGAACATATAAACTGGACAAGTTGACAAGCATATTTCCTTTGAACATGTAAACTTCTCACTTCTTCTGAAAATATAAACTTTACATCTCTTTTGAGCATATCAACTTGACAAATACACTTCCTTTGAACATGTAAACTTGACAAGTAAACTTCCTTTGAATATGTAAACTTGACAAATATACTTCCTTTGAACATGTAAACTTGACAAGTAAACTTCCTTTGAATATGTAAACTTGACAAGTAAACTTCCTTTGAATATGTAAACTTGACAAATATACTTCCTTTGAACATGTAAACTTGACAAGTAAACTTCCTTTGAACATATGAACTTGACAAGTACACTTCCTTTGAACATATAAACTTGACAAATATACTTCCTTTGAACATATAAACTTGACAAATATACTTCCTTTGAAGATGTAAACTTGACAAGTATACTTTTCGGGGCTGTATGAAGTTTGATTGTTTCGATAAGAAATCAAGAGACCATATCATCATTCTATCATGTTAGTCAGGACATGCAATTTATCATGGATAACAATTAGTTATATACGTTAAGGACTCGATAAAATATTGCTGAAAGCTAGATGATAGTTGTTATCCTCAAAAGAAAAAAAGGTGCAAGCTGTTATTGGAATTAATTTTGAATGCCCAGTGATGATAATAACGTGCGAGTTAATGTATTTGATTATGGAACAATGAAACAAATAGTAGTAACCACTTACCATAATTAATTTGAACATATAACACTATTTCATGTGACATTGATCTTTCCAGGCACCCCCGGGAACAGGAGACGCTTCCAAACCATTTCTACTTCAGTGACTACGAACGCCATAATGCGGAAGTAGCTGCATTCCATCTTGACAGGTATGACTTCTATCGGTCAAATGGTCCAAGGTCAATGATTCATAACAAGACGTCACCTATGATATGTTGAATAATAGTTTGTGTCTTGATATTTTAACTGAAAGCAACAGAAACAGTGTAATACAATCACAAACTCGCAAAAGCATATGTTTTAATAATTGTTTGACAGTTCAGTAAAAATACACATATCATGATCTCTTTAAAAATTCTCGAAATTAGATTTTGGAAGAAGAATCTGGAATCGATAAATACTTGTGAAGACAGATAAAAAAATAACAGAAATGCTAACAGTTGAATTCAGTAGACGGACTTTAAGGTTTTATGTCATTTTTTAGGGGAAAATCCCTTTGTTTTCTATGATTTACAATCGTCATTATGCTTACATTATCAAAGTAACGATAATGAGGCTCCGTGCTTCATAAAATATGCACAATTATGACAATTTGTAGTTCAGATCAGCAAAACCAATATTGGACGAAAAAACTTGAGTTGTTTGAAATAACGTAAAATCGGTCATTTATAATGAGTAAGCATGAACTACAAAGTAGTAAAAATATAAAATCTTGAATTTTATAAAAAGACTAAAACTATTCAAATGTACGTATGTTGTCTAAAAATTAGTTATTTAAATCTTAGTTTTGCTAAACGCGAAATGGTCATGTGATAACATTATTAAAATAACGAGGAAAACAAGATATGTTGGGGAAAACTGTGATCCCGAGAGGAAGCAGTTCATTAGAACTAGAACATTCAATCAACTGAAATCTAGTGAAATGTCATTAGGAATGTAGATGCTAATTAAGAATGCATTTCCTTAAAGATTATAAGATACTGATTGTTTTGGAGACTATGGGACATAATCTGCTAATTAAAGAAAGCAAAGTGAAAGTAAAGCATATATTGAGGTGTGCCAAATGAAGAAAGTCGAGGACTTGTTACTATTATTAACATTATTATCAAAGTCCCGTAGTTGTAACAAATCTTGACATAATTTATCCGATATTGAACTCATATGAGACCTAAGTAATAAGACGCAAATTCGGTGGAAGTGTTGATGGATTTTGAGAAATAACTAACTCATCGGTCGGAGATTTCATTGATACAAAGCAATATACCAGTTTTTTATTAAAAAAAATCATGTGTTGGAAACAATGAAATCATTAAATTTAATTGTTTCAAATTTCGATAACTCTTGAACTTACAAAAAATCCTCATGAAATCTTGTAGAAATAAAACAGTAAACTAAATTTGGTTTAATTATTGTTATGAAAATCAAAGTCATGCGAAATGTTATTGATATAAAGCTATTCGACAAACAACATCCCCTACCTCACCATCCGACCTTCGATGACATAGCAATACCCCATGTATACGTTTTCTTTAATTTGAATGACGGTATGCACACTTCCGTTTATGGCAATATTTTCCTGAGTTACCTGTTTGGATAAGAAGGTGTGACAGACGATCATTTCGAACTTCTGTTTGACACACAACAGTTGCATTACGTAACTCTCAATATTGAACATGCAATCATCACAATATGTCTACCATAATGTTTAACAATGAATCTATATCTTTGAGAGCTTTCAGGCATGAAATATTACCTACCTGTGTTTCCATAATAAGTATCACAAAGATTTACAACATTAACAAGCATCCACAAACTGTAAAAAGTACAGTCCTATCCACATATAATAGCATCCTCATCTACAACGAAAGAATTAACTGAATCTGAAATCTGTCGATTATATAAGAAAATAATTTCCTATCACTTATGACAGTAAAAAAAACTACACTCATGTCTACCTTACCTATGACCTCCAGACTGGAGGACTCGTGAGAACACTGCAGGTGAATTTGACATTTGTAATGATGTGATGTGTTTTATATGATAATGGTCTATACATTACCAATCTGGCTAGGTAGCCCTTTGGTCACATTACTCCAAATTACATTTTTCTTCAGAGCAGCAGGTTTGATTGTTCAATAATGTTTTTTTCTTAAATGTACATCGGTTCAAAATTAGATATATTCCAATTGCTTATTATTCTTAGGTAGTTAAAGGATTTCCAGAAGATAATTGTAAATTCTTCTTTACCAAGAAAACACGCAGGTTGTTCTTTAAACAGTCGTCTTATCAAGTCTTATACGTCTTATACGTTATTCATCTTCTCTCGATATTCGCATGCAAACAGTCCCGTGATATTCATTCGTTGAATTAATTAAGCATCTCTAATTGGAGAATTTCAACCTCTCCAGTTTACTAGAAATCCAAAAGGCACGTCGTGAAATAGGTATATATTAGGATCGCATCAAATTACCACGAGTGCAAATAGTATGTCTTTTTTTATAGATATCGACTGCTCAAGCGATATCTCCGACCATGACCTTCACATTACCAGGCGTTGATCCCCTAAACCAATCGCATCCCTTAAGTTTTAGTTGCAAGCGCACTTGCAAACAGTCAGTTGTTTGAAAGAGCTAGGTTACTTATTAGAAAGAAGGTAGATGCGTCTTATTGCTTCAACCATGTCTCCTAATTAGACCATTTACTTTGTGACAGTGTTTTTCTCCATAACATGCATTGTAACACTATTACCTGGCATGAATATTTTGTTTACAGTTTGTCCTCTGTAAGGTCGTGCAACTTCTTGAAGACCTGTTACAGATGGTTCTCGTCAATATTTCTTTATTATCCTTTTCATGCAGACAGCGACACAATGCAACCTTACCTTCTGTTTGCATATTACTACTCTCCATGCTGCTTTGTCTGCAACTTCAGTTGATTTTCTCCTTTTATCATTTTTACTTACATACAACGTATGTCCTGCATACTTCTTTTCAAACCGTAAAATATTTATCATACCTCACGAATCCGAGAAGGACGAAACAGAAATTTAGTATTTGATCCTACTGTATCTTATATTACCTTTGTCCCGAATGATGCTCTTCTCTTATGTGTCTTTTGCATAAGTAAATGTCCGGGTGATATTATTTCTATATGGTTTATATAAAAATATATTTACATTTTCTGGAGAACAGGAATTGGGAAGTCTGTGTCCTGTTATTGTGGGCGTTGTGATTTCTCCCAGTTGAAAATACAGAAGAAAGTCCCGCTGTTTTGCAGATTGCATTAGCTTCCTTAATACTTGGCCTTGAAGAATTCCTCTAATACCAATACATTTTTAAACAAATGTTCGAACCCAGGCATCTACTTAACAGACCTTTTAAGAAACAGTGAATTTAAACAAAATTCAATAAATCGTGTTTTTTCATCCCGAATGAACTTCATCATTTCCGTTATCGTTGTTTTTGACCACTATGTTATTGCTCATTAATCTACAGGTAGCGTCGACTGATTTTCATTTGCTACGCCAAAATCTTCCATTTCCCAATATTGGGGCGTCAAATTACATTGTAAGTTTGCAGGCCAATACCTATTGACCAATTGTGTTCTTGTTGCTTTTTTTCCCTGAATTGTATCATTGAATCACGCAATCCGTATCATACACATGTCCTTGGTATAATTTGATTGGTTTCCATCCAGGGTGTCTACCTAATGTTGGACGTTTTTTTTGCATGACTAACGCTTCGGATGATTACATTGTTTGATCTTAGACTTTCTGACTGACAGGGAATGTATTTATAGGTATTGTTTGTGAGACATTTCGTCTTAATTTACACTGCATTGTTTTCTTTTCTTTTTTTTTTCAAACTTGAAACCATTTGTACTTTTTGAATCTGTCCGCACAACCTTTTAAATACCAAACGTTCTGCAAATGAAATTCATCTCAGTTTTCTTTTGTCACACGGCGTGTCACATCTGGTACCACAGTACTTTTAAAGTCTATAATGGATTTTTCCTTCACTGAAAACTTACATATTTTAAGTTAAGTACCGTTTTGGCAAATTAACTGCTATTTTAGCTCAAAACATTTTTTTCCTATTAGAGCGTGATCAAATTTCCAGAAAGAGTACTATTTTTCCGTTTAAGATATTGCTTCACATTTGATTTGCAGTCTGATTGTAGGTTTGTTATTCAGCACAGTTGTATAACAATCGAGTTTGAAATTTGATAAACCCTGTCAAGATTTAAAGAGTTTTATGAAGTTATGATCAAACTTTGCAGGAGACAAAAATAGCTCCGTTCATGTAAATGGTCCCAATATATAGCCAACACATCCGCTAATATGTTTTTTTATGATATTACCACAGGTCACGTGATCTTTGGAATTCAAATCACAGGAACCCAAGTAAATAGAAACTGTTGATTGTCAGGGCATAATTAGTGTGTATGCATCTTTCATTTCCATTGAAATAATTCGAATGTTTTCTTGTAGATTACAGAAGTAGAGAAGTCTTGAAATCAGTATAGTGTACCTCTATATTGATCTCATTGACCTCTGATAAAATATCTATTTTGATAAATATATATATATATAAATCTTCTGTAGTCTTAAAAAGGATACGTATCAGCCTAAATGAAGCCCATCTAATATGTAAAATGTATCGAATTGAATTCATATGAAATTAACAATTCTCCAAAATGTTGCCTCCTTGTTAAGTTGCACGCTTCAGAAGAATTTGATTTCATCACAACAGAAATAAAACATTTCTGATTCCATACAAACATGAAGTCTTTGGAAAGATTGATAGGTTTTCACTAACCTTAAATCCACGTAAAATGAATACGATTCGTGCACTCTTCCAGAGCATCTACGAAGGATTTTCAATGAAAAACTGTGTCATACTAGTTTTGCGACAACTAAATCGGAAGTTGCAGTTTTTGTGTATAGTCGTTCTGGTGTTGGAAAAAAAGAACTTACTTGATTGCACCCGACATCCAATATCTGTTACGTTTAACACACCTAGACCTTTAAATAATAAACTGTTTCAAGAACTGTGCAAGTCCCAAATGTATTTTGTTCTAAAGTAATGATTAATATATTAGACAGAAGAATACGATTATGCAACACTTTAACTTATGGTTCATGATGAAATATTTAGAAGAACATGGTTTCGAAAACAATGTCACATTCGTTATGGTAAAACATATGCAATGTCATAGTTCTAGTTTCCAGTTTTCAGTAATCCTTTTAGGGACTTGTAATAATCCTGACAAAGCCATCTCAGAATATTTCCCAGCCAAGGCTATAAAATACGTGGCATCCTGGTCATCCCATCTAGAAATCGAGTAATCTCACAGGTTGACCACGTTCAGCACAATGTATGTTAGTTCGTTGTTACCTGAGAGTAACGTTTATCTTTTAAAGGGACTTCATATTCGTGATGGAATGTGCGAACATTACATTTACATTAATTATTTTTTCCTCATGGAAGAAACATCCACAACAGTATTTACAGCTCCATCTACAGAGGAACATCCGACTTCTTAATAAAATCCCGCATTGTTTTATGCAAACGACCAGACTGCTTCACTTTTAACTACACTGATGCAAACTTTGACCTGAATGATTAAGGATTCATTAATGCGGCTGATCAGATTCAAATATGTCATAGACGTCTATAAATGTTAACAAATACTAAATGAGAAATCACTTATTTTTTTCTTTTAAGTTTACTAGAAATTCCATTGTTATATATATTATGATATGTATGTCAATCATGAAATGTTTATATTTAGACCAATGCGTGTCAATTTGTTATATAATAATCATCATTATCATCATCATTTGTTGTCGAGGTCTTTTATTCTCAAGGACGAAGAGATAATCTTTAACTCCAGGAAAAAAATAATGATTAAATTTCTTAACTGTCTCATCTTCAAGATACAGAACGTTTGTATTAATCAATGTCATAACCACGTGGCAAATGAGCTTATAACAAAGGTCATTTACATTAATTAATATTCATTACGTCTACAAAAACACAACAACGTGCTGTATATTTTATTTGGGAGATACGTTGACATAAGTGTCATTTATGTTATCATTTCAACTCGACGAGAAACCACTAAGGTACTGTATTAGTGTCAATCATTATGGGAGTTATTCATTTTATAAATGTATTTGGGTCAAGATTGTCACTCTTCTTGTCCAAAACTGCACGATCAACATATAAACAAAACACAAACTTTTATACATCCCACTTGTTTGACAGAAATTATTAAAGTCAGATATTGCACAAGACGAATTCTTTTAAACAAACGTTTAATATAATTTATATTTCTGTATTCACATGATTAACTCATCAATATTTGTACGTATATAACGTCACGTTGATAACAAAAGTGTAACGAATAAACACATATCTCCTATCATCAACATATATTCGGTAAAGTGCCAGTTTCGTATATGACAAAACGTGTCGTTTAGAAATCTATTCGAGTTCTCTAGTCAGAAAGTCATATTTTATCTGGTGATGCGACGTGTGTCGTTTTGAAATATTAATTGCTTTCCTTATTGACCTCATATCAATTTATAAAATATTTATCATAGTCTCTCTAGGTTTCTTTATATTTCACTGTAGACATGTTCATCTATCAAGATAATAAAAGGGTATATAAATAACTATTAGTGTTGTTTGTTGTAGAGTCCTAGGTTTCTACCGTGTCCCACCTACTGCTGGCAGAGTTGTGAATATGACGAGGGATATAAAGCGTTTAGCAGACCACAAATTAGCCAAGACATTTTTCATATCTCCAGGTATGTATACAGTGGAACACGTAACATAGATAATGATCTCCAGAATAAATAGCATCACAAGACCATATATAGTAATAGTTTCATAATTTATGTCCAGGCGGCTGTCACCTTTTTATTATAATGCCTTTGTCTAATTATATTCTAATAACGATTTTGCTTTCGAAATAACATACGCGCCACAACTACATACAGAAGGGTGCATTGTGCATAATGCATATGATATAGCTGGTGAGGTTGTATAATAATGCTGTTTTGATAGGGTGAATAAGTTAAGACACTAAATAGATTGATTCACGCTGGAATTATTGCGCTAAAATATGATTAGCTAATTGCATTTTTTAATGTAATATAATAAATTATTGTCGACGTGCGAAATTTACATTGCGTTATTTGATTGTGTCAAAATAAGTACGTGTCTGGTATCTACAATATGACAGTTTAATCATTTTGATAAATTTACCGTAACTGGACTAATATGTAATATTTGCTGACTTTCAAAGTCGGCTTTATATAGAATCATTTAAAAGTGTGACAAAATTTAAATCAAATTGATGTGAAGTTCTATTTACGTGAGCGGGCGTCGCTTGACAGTAGAATATGCATGCAATTATACCCTTAGCGTGTAAGGGATTGATTCAGGAAGCCGAGGGAAGACATGCTATGACTATGAATGGCTCATAATACATGTAACTTTGGTGGAAACCATGTTCACTATTACTTAGATTTTCACCAAAGCACACAGTAATATTCTCTTTTGTGCAGCACGTCCTGTAGAGTGTCAGTAGACTAATAAGTAGGAAAGCTGAGTGAATTATTCATGTTATTTATCTCACCATGTAATAAGTATAGACTCGCTCATGTCCGTAGTCAGTACTATTGTCCAAGATGTTTTACTTAACTATAATGATATTGTCTCCAGCTGATTTTCCTTCGTTTGCATATAAATTGAAGAAATCAAATTCGTGATTAATCTGAAAGACAAATTTCACTAACAACATTTTTTATCCTTTGCAGCCAACAATCTTTGTTTCCATGGCAGTTGCTCATATTATTGCGACACAGGCCATGCCATCTGTGGAACCCCAGATTTACTTGAAACATCAATGGCGGCCTTTCTTCCGCCGGAAAAAATAGCGCCTCGCAAGACATGGCGTAACCCATGGAAACGGTCATACAGCAAACATCGCAAGGCCTACTGGGAGGTGTATGATGATCTATGCGATAAAGTGAAGTTAAAATCTCCATATAATACAGGTCGCCGTCTGCTGGATCTGATGGACACACATATATTTGACTTCTTGACAGGTAATGACACTATTTCCATATTCTAATATCCACAGTCGGTAATATATCTGAACATTCACTTAAATAACATGCCCTGCTAGAAACCATTCAGTGTGGAGTTTTGTAAAATCAATATCGCACAGACGATTTGGTGGTATGTACAATAATATTATAAAATTGCAACGTATTGTTGATATATGTGGTATATAAAGAACTCACAATGATAATACAGTACCCATTCCCCTAACTTTGATACCAACACCATGATATCACTGTGATTTTTTCCGTATAGCTGCAATGGTTTAAACTACACGTGCTTCAAATAAATATCAATACAGGAAATACCTTTATTAAATTGCTTCAACCTTGTAACAAAGGGAATTTAAATTAGCTTCTTTTTTGATGCCGTATCAAGACATGTCTTTGTCAGAATAATGACATGAGATATGTTATACTATTACTTCAATGTAACCTTCGCTTTGACCTATCTTATTAATCCTCTGATCTTAGTGTCGACAAGGCTTCACTCACAAAGATTTTTTTTCTAATCTGTGAAATTTCGAAGACAAAAGACACTGCTAATGAATAAAGACTTCTAGTGTGCACTTCTTGTCTTGCTTGTACATGCACTATCAATTGTGTAGATAAGGAAAGTGTGTTGGAGTGAAATACTATCTTTTCATCTGCAGAAGGCTTACTGTATTGGTTGATTTTTAACATACTAAATGATTTGCCATACCGTGATATTTGTAGTAATCAATTTAGAGGCTGGCTGGGTCTCCGATCATTTATACCTGTAGTCCACACATCAAAGTATTGTTATAACTGATTCATAAATTAAACAGACATTGGAAATTAGGATGTTGACAGTAATGCACTAACGTCTGTTTTCTGAGGGGCCCAGACAATATGTTACGTAATATTGCTCGAGTTGGATACGGAATGAAATATATGATAAATGAAAGTGACGTGAAAGATATATCAAATTAATGAGATAATAACTGCCATAACATGCAATATGCAGTATAATTGAGGCTAATTTTAAAATAGACAAGCTTCACCAGTAATATATTCATATCTCGGACAAAAACAACTTAGGGCCACTGAGGACAGAGATAAATTTGCAATATTCCATTTCCTCTTGTCACACATTTGCTGTCAAATACAGAGAATTTGAGATTTAATATCACTACTTATGGGGTTTTATCATTAATAATTCATTTTAAAGATGTCATCTATCAGCATACATTATACAACAAATGAATGCAATCATGAGAAAAAAAAATGCAGTTACCATTGTGCCTGGTACACATTGGTACTGGCTGATTTTGCGAAAAAAAATGCGATAAAGAGAAATAATAGTAATAATCTTGCACGTGATTTATTTGCGAGTCTACCGTTTCTCTCCTGCAATGGGTTTGAGTATCTACATATGAACGACAACAATCTTCCATTTGGCGCATATACAGTACATCTATTGTTTATGTAACCGTGACCAGGTACATTTACATAGTAATTACATTTACGTGTAAGTTGGTTTGGTAATTTAATAGTTTTAGTAATTAATTACGAATACCAGTCATACAAGTGAGATCATTTTTCATATTAATTGTCCATTATTATACACATTAGCATAAAGTAACTAAAAAAACATAAAAACTCTACACAACTATATATTATGATTGAGACTTTAAGTAGAGCCAAATAACAGTCCTGTTTCCTTGATAGAAGTTATCATAAAAAATATTTTATTTTTTCTGTGACTGTTCTATGTTGTGCACTTTTTATCAAATTATTAGTTTTGTTTTCTAGTTTCCAGTTGGGGGGGGGGAATACATTTTACAGGAATACTCATGGCAAATTAACACCCGATATCATTCGATAAAATTAATAATAAACTATCTGCCGTTTGGTCCAAACGATGTTTTAAAGACTTCATTTTAAACTTCAAACGGCTAACAATTCAACTGGTGAACACGATACATGAATCAATGAGCTATGCAAAAACAAATCACAAAAAGAAGAGTTCACATAATCCAACAAAAATACGTGAAAATAAATCTATACAATAGTAGTGCAAGGATTGCGCCGAACAAGAAATAAGATTGACGTTGGTGATGACTGTAACTATGAATCTCGTACTATTACCAGCACGCGTTTATTTTTATTTTTTTTTTTTTTTTCGTTTTTTTTCCAGGTAATTTGGACAGACATCACTATGAAACATTCAAAGATTTTGGCAACGACACCTTCCATCTCCACCTGGATAACGGACGATCGTAAGTTTCTACTATTGTATTTTGTTTTAATTGGAACCTCATCAACAAAGCCATGTGTATATCCGACTCATTTCCTGAAAAATTCCATCGGGAGTTCAGGAATGAATTACATGTTCTGAAAAAATATTACGATCAAGTAAAAAGGCACTATTTCGAGGTTTCAATAATGGAGAATCTGAGATCACAATGTTTATGGCGGAGACAGAAAAAGGCAATCATTTCTCCACTAGATTCTTATAGGACATTCAGTGAAAATATTCGGTGTTGTGTTATCAAATCGATTTTCCTATTTAGCTATATTCATTATTGTTCAAAATATTGTTGAAAGTCAAAAACGGAATTACGGCCAAAAGGCGTTTAATTTCTCGTCTACTTTTTCTACACGCAACATTTAAACACTTTATTTTTTCGGCCGGTACATTAAATCAACAACTAGGCTGCACTGCAGCACCAAACCGTCCTTGATATAAGTGTACAGGGATAAATAAACCATGCCGAATCTCTAGGAAAGCAGTAACCATGCCAGCTGGTGCCAAAATGTAGAGGACGCTGATCCAACCGATCACGAGAGTAGACGGGCATTTTGATAAGACTTCTATATAAATACGGGAGACGTATGTGTACATCATATGCAATAGATACTTTAACCAGCACCTGTTCTCGTTCACCTCTCGCGGGATATAGGCTAAATTATTAAGTATGTTTTGAGTGGTTATTTTATTTGTGGGCAATAACAACATTGGAAAATCACTTTAATAATCTTATCTGTCCGTTTATTAATTTCCGTTTAATGTTAGACTCGGCCAGTTATTGTCATTGTTCATTAGATATCGTCTCTAATCCCTTCTCATTACTTTCTAAATCTGAACAGGTATACTGTAACCAGATCGTTCAAAAATTAAACTCATTTGTGGTTTTTATAAACATAGTTTCAGATGAATTTCAATGTTTTAGCGAACAATTCCCCCATTTGTTGTAACATTTCATTTGGAATGCTATTTTCAATTACTGTATTGGCATGATGCAGAACAGATGGCGTGTAATTTATCGTTTGATAACCTTTAAGTGGTTGACTTTGGCCAACCTATGAATAATATGGGTTTTTTTTATTAAATACGACAGTAATTCATTTCAATTAGTTACATAGTTCCACTAACCTACCTTTATTATGCACTGCCTCTACTACATCTGATTTAACAACACATACAAAACTGTCTTGAGGCAACTCTGGTTGGAACTTGTAGGAGCTAGACATGAAATGAATCTATGTAGATTTCATAAAGTCTCAATTTGATGGAGATTTATGTGTTTCCAATGTGTGTCGGCCCAACATCCTATATTCAATGTAGTGTGAACAGAGCTCATTACAAGCCACACACACCAGCCTCGTATATCTGCTTTCTCTATTAAACTGGCATTATCAGATAGATATTTTTTCTGTTGCTTTGCGGGCGGCAGGATAGAGTTTCCAAGTTCAAATAGTGCAACTATTTTGGATTACGTAACCAGCTTTAATTCCTTCCCTTGACTTCGGTCATAGTGTTTTTGTTGATACGTTCTATATTATAAATCAATTCCGGAACTTTGTTGTATTGACAATTAAAGAAAACTACAGGAAACTTTCGGTGGCAACTTTTGATCCGATAGTTGTAGCCTCAACGGATGGTCGTATCTTTGTGGTATGAACGTTTCATGACATATTGTAGAAATATATGTGTAGAACCATTAACATGATTTCAAAACCGTTCGCATGATAGCTGTAGATCTCTATAAAGCGTTGAATTTGTCAGGAGTTTATCAAAACGTATTTAGGCTCAGTGGTAGACGGTGCTGGTAGTTGGTGTAACCTGCATATCAGGTTTTAACGGATGTTCGACTAATGTCACGGTCCACAATATATAAACGTTCTTGGCGCTCTTCTGAAATTATTAGATATATATAAATAACAAAATGTAAAGTCATGAACTAATACACATCGCTATTTAGATTTTGGCATTTTCATATTTTTCTCCTATGTACCAAAATATAGGTAATTTTCATTTCTGCTTTATGATGCAGTTTAATTCATTGTTTGGCTCAACTGTATCTAATTCTAAATTCGTAATTAAAAGTGACATTCGCTTGCTTGTTTTTCGTACAATCCTTGGGAATATTACGCTTTATTATATCATAGTTTGAGCAGGTGTCTTGGAAAAAATATCTAAGAATGCATTTTTCACTGTATATTTGTGATTACAGATTTGGAAAGTGGCGACAGGACGACATGAGTATCCTTGCTCCGGTATTCCAGTGTTGCAAAATAAGATATTCCACGTTCATGAAGCTCGCCAAATTCTACATTGGACCAGACAAAGTTTCAACATTAATGAAAGCATCCACGTCACGTGACAAAATATTCCCGGTCCTCATCGAGAATCATCTGTTAGCGCTGGATAGACGTGTTATCAAGATTCTGAAAGAGATAAACATATGTATACAGAACGGAAATGATATCAACGATGTGATAGAAGATGATCATTTCTGATGATATTTATTGGAGTGGAGCTGTGTATTAAGATATGCATACAACAATGAAACGGGATGGAATGATATCGTTGGTTTTGTTTGCTGAGGATTTAGGTGCCAGGAAATAGTTCTTTCTGCTTTACCTCTCATGGTTTGCTAAATAAGGAATTGTACCTACATGAAGAAACCATACCGGTATGGTTTATGAAGTCATGTCTTAAATTACAGAGCTGAACTACCATGTTGAAGGTTGTAGTCTGTTATGTTGGAGCTTTGGTTCTGTGGCAAGATAGAACTATTAATAAAAGGACAGCCAGTTCTGTAACCGGGAAAAGATATTCCAATGTGACAGAGCGTGATACACTACAATATATGATATGTAACTGGGCATGTTTGGAATAATTTTCGTGATGGCTTGGGCTAATGGGATATTGCAAGTTTTGGCGAGCGGTCTTAAAAGTTTGGAGTGTTCTTACAAGCTTGGGATAATGATCAGAAAGGTTTGGGCAAATAGTCTTAACTGGCTGAGCTTGTGATCTTACTTGTTTGCGCTTGTGATCTTATTTGTTTGAACTTTAATCATACAGGTTTTGAGTATCGTTCTTACCGGTTTGTGATAGTTATTTTACATGGTCCATCTGTAATCATGCAGATCTGAGTTAGCGTTCTTAATGGTTTTGGCTAGTTATCTTATAAGTTTGGACTAGTGATCTTACAAGGTTGAGCAAGTGATCTGACAGGTTTGAGAGGTGATCATACAGGTTTGGTCAAGTGATCTGACAGGTTTGAGAGGTGATCATACAGGTTTGGTCAAGTGACCTGATAGGTTTGAGAGGTGATCATACAGGTTTGGTCAAGTGATCTGACAGGTTTGAGAGGTGATCATACAGGTTTGGTCAAGTGACCTGACAGGTTTGAGAAGCGATCATACAGGTTTGGTCAGGTGATCTGACAGGTTTGAGAGGTGATCATACAGGTTTGGTCAAGTGATCTGACAGGTTTGAGAAGTGATCATACAGGTTTGGTCAAGTGACCTGACAGGTTTGAGAGGTGATCATACAGGTTTGGTCAAGTGACCTGACAGGTTTGAGAGGTGATCATACAGGTTTGGTCAAGTGACCTGACAGGTTTGAGAGGTGATCATACAGGTTTGGTCAAGTGACCTGACAGGTTTGAGAGGTGATCATACAGGTTTTGTCAAGTGACCTGACAGGTTTGAGAGGTGATCATACAGGTTTGGTCAAGTGATCTGACAGGTTTGAGAGGTGATCATACAGGTTTGGTCAAGTGATCTGACAGGTTTGAGAGGTGATCATACAGGTTTGGTCAAGTGACCTGACAGGTTTGAGAGGTGATTATACAGGTCTGGTCAAGTGATCTGACAGGTTTGAGAGGTGATCATACAGGCTTGGTCAAGTGATCTTACCGGTTTGAGAGGTGATCATACAGGTTTGGTCAAGTGATCTTACCGGTTTGAGATAGTGAGCTTACTTTTTTGACCTAGTATTCTTACAAGATTGAGGAAGTGATCTAATTTGATCTGTGATCATACAGGTTTAGGGTACCGTTCTTATCGGTTTGAGTTTTTGATCTTACAAGTTTGGGGTAGTGATCATTGGGCTGGCGGTCTCACCGAATAGGGATAGTGATCCTACATGTTTAGGCTTGTCATCTTTCAAGTTTCGACGAGGGACCTTACAGGCTTTGGCAAATAGTCTTAAAGGTTTGAGCGAGTGATCTGGGGATCTTAAAGAATCGGGCTTGTAGCTTTCCTGTTAGGAGAGTGATTTTGCTGATTCTAGCTAGTAAACATACAGTTTTGGTGGGAGATCGCCAAAGTCTGATCTAGTTGGCGGATGATGTTGCAGGTTTGATCTTGTAATCCGGTAAAGGCTCATAATTGTACAGTTAAGGAAAGGGATTTGACAGAGTTGAGTCAATGATAAGGCGTATTTAGCTGGTGATCTTGCACAGTTGATTCAATGATCAAGCGTATTTAGCTGGTGACCTTACATAATTGAAGCATTGACATAACACATCTAAAAGTCTATGTTATGTTATTCCATGGAAATATTGCAGATCGGAGCGAATGTTTTTTACAAGACAAATATAGAATGAAAATAGAACATGGCCGTAACCAGCACACTGGCAGATAGTATATAATGCTAAATACCAGGGAATAGCTGTTATATTGTAAACAGCAATCACCTGGTGGACAAAAGCGTATGATCGATCTGGTAAACTATGTGATAGATAACGGTTTGGAGAAATGTTCATTAAAATGTATCGCTGTGATCGGTGTTGTAGTAGCAGTCCCGATTGACACAACAGCTGCAGAACGTTTTGATAATTCTCACCAATGATTTAATTCAGTACTAGTTTTTTTCTGATGCATTCCAGTATTATCTATAAATATCACATTTCGCTGCCAAACTCATCTTCCTTACGCTTTGCATTTATCCAAAAATAAACGCAAAAATGTGACTGTTTACTTATAGTATTTATCAATATTGTTTAGACACAAATGATTTTTTCGTAGTTTCCTTTAATTCCCTGATTTGTTTATTTTCTTCGCTTCTAAGAAAATTAAAACAAAATTCCATATCAAGTATCAATCCGACAAAATACGATTTGCCAGCTGTTTTGAGAATTCGAACAAAATGTTTAACCAGTCACAATTTTTGAGTAAATGAATTTTGTTTCCCCGTAAGTGAATGAACAACACATGGCTTTGTTTATATCATACAAAAGTTAGATTCACTTTCGTTAAATAATAGAGTCGAAAGTTTATCAAACTGACGAAAACGTCTGAAAAATGTATTTTTATAAATATTTATAAACTAGAGTAAGCTTATCCTATTCAGTTCAGAAGATTTTTTTTTCAGAACAACTTGAAGTAGATGTTAGAGAATGTAGTACCTTGTATTTCGTTTGTGATATCAAAATCAAAACTAGCTGTTAGATTTAGATAAAGTACACCGTTAACATTTGAAATAATTCACGGCACAAAAGAACGTTCAGTTTTCATGTATTTCAATAAAATGAATTTACATTGCAACAGTTTTTTGAAAATATTTGGTGCGAGTATAAAAAGTGCCTTACAATGTGGTACAATTAACACGACCTTGTTGTTTCCAGGTGTGCCATGATACAAAATAATAACATCTAGTATTTTTATATAGAACTGGTGTGATGAAGCCACGTGCATGTGGAATGGACTTTGAAGATATTGTTTTCAATATGTATATGTGACTATGATAAAGTAAACACATGTGTGATGACCGGAGTGTGATGATAGTGTAACAAATCCGAATCGTTATCATACTTTGAATTAGTAAAGGTACGAAACAAGACTTTTCTTAGCTATAGACGTGAGAAAACAATGATAATAAGGTAAAATTTGCCTTCACATAGTTTTTCATTAGTGTAAACTCCTATCGTGACCTGACGATATTACAAAACCAAAACTGCACTCAATTTAAATAGAGGAAAAAAACATTTGAAATTAGAAATTTTACGATAGATGTGTTCAAATATGTGTATTTATTAACGGCAATGTTTTAGTTGAAGTTATCGTCTTAATGAGAAATCGGAATAAAATAGTTCATGAATACAAATATGTAAATGTTTTGAACAGTACGAATTACGAAAGTTCGGATTAACGAAGTATTTCTATAATCGTACTATTGCTGTTGTACATTCCAGAATGACCATTACACAGACAGACCACAACTGTATCATTACAAATTTAGCTCGTTCATTTAGTCCTTATTAGATACGAATTCAATACTGCATACATTTATATCTATTTATTACGATTATGTATTAAAAATGAAAACGAAATACATTTAAGAAAAATTTCAATTGTCCAATTTGCCATTATTTCATCTAAAGGCAACCTGAAGTCATTTAAACTGACTCTATACTGATATATTTACTTAAATATGATTTATTAAACGGAACAAACCATTTGTAGATATACATTTGTATCGTAAAAATAGTCTTGATTCTCCGGTTAAATTGCTATTTTATTAGCAGACAATTTATTAATTTGCTAATCATTGATGTCAAATTATGTCTTCACTGATATGTAAATGTCATGTTCATGATAATCTGTGTAAAATCTATTCCTTTATGTTTACATAACCTACTGTTAAACAGCTTGATGTCATGTTCTGTACGTTCATATATTACATTCCAAATGTTGTTCACTTTAAGGTTTATATATTGGTTTGGTATTCTATTAAATGATATGTTGTTTTTTTTTTTTTATTGATTTTTTCTATTTTCACGCTTATGTGAAAATGGACAATTAAGAAATGGTCCTTTATGAAGGCTATACTTTGATTGGTCAGTAAGTAAATGAACCGTGGATATTCAATACAAGGCCTCCTACTGAATTTATATCACGAGAAGTAAAAAGAACATTGCATACAAAATATACTTTTGCTTACAAAACAAAATTACTTAGGACGAATTATAATAACCATCATTACAGTGTTTAATACTGTTCAAAACGTGTGAAACATATCTTTTTATATGAATTATGATGTTTCTTCTAGTCTTGTTAGTGTGTTTATACATACGTACATACATCCTAATCTTTGTTTTTGACGCATTTAGAGTCTGTAGATGTATCAAAGTTATTTATACCGGAATAATATCTCTTACTTCCAGTGCTGTTATGAAAAAAAATGGACATTTTCAGGACTAAAATTTATGTCCATGATATTACAAGTTCTGAGGCCCGAGATAACTCGGTTTACTGAAATATTTGTTGTAGTCGAATTGTCTCGACATCCAAAGGCCGTCTGTGTGATGAATGACTTTTATGTGCAAGCCAACTGGAGAGAAGATTGTGTCATTCTGTTGTTTTATTTATATCTTAATTAGATATGTTCAAAAGTTAAGCAACGAGTGTTACATGTAATTTATAAATATTTTAAATGGTGATGTACAACTGGCAAAAGCGTGAAATCAAAGCAGAAGAACACGATTGTGCTGATTCAAATTTCTTAA